GAGGCCATCGCCAGATCCTCCTGCCTCAGGTAAACCAGGGCCATCACAGGTGACTCCTTGCACCCCACCCACCACCCGTTTGACCCGCTGCTCACTGGTCAGCACACGTCCAGACCATGAAACAGCCTCTTCCCCTGTCAACAAACACTATCCCCCCACACCCCACGGTGAGCCATGGTCTGAGTAATCCCCATCACACAGGCCACTCACATGTGTACTTATACTCAGACCAAGTCCTCTGCACTACTTCCAAGCACTTTGTATATATTCCTGCAGTTTGGAAAGACTTCATCTGTTTGTTATTTATTCCGGTTGTCTTACTATTTATATATTATTCCTGCACAGTTGCCATGGAGCAGCCATAATTTCGTTGTACAATGACAATAAAGGGCTATTTTATTCTATTGCATTCTAATATACGATTCTCTGAAATATGTAAGTGTGACAAAAAAAAAAGAAATTAAGAAGTGCATAGATACTTTTTTGCAGCGCTGTAAATGTTTAAATATAAGGATAAATTAGAATTTTTAAATTTGAATGAGCTGAATACATGAATACATTTGCATTTACTTTCCTTTTTTTCTCTTTTGCAGCTTGATTGTAATTCTGCAGTTGTAAGAAAACTTTTCTTGTGATTACAGGAATATAATTTGGTACTTTTAGCAAAATACTTCTTTTCTGCTGACAGAGAACATGACTTATCATGATTGACTGTGCTTCTAAAAGTCCTGGGTTTTTCTTTCTTTGTTTTCCTTCTTAATATTTTAAAAAATCTGCAGTAAATCAAATTCTAAGTAGTGTTATCCATCTGGGACTAAATTTGGTTTATATGAAACATAACTTCTCCAACACCAGTCCAAACTCACAGGTTTATAAATCCATATAGACATTGAAATACTAATGCAGTACATTCTTGTGGGTCGTCTCAGAACATATAACGGTCACATCAGCTGTAATCATGACCACCAGAGTGACACTCGGCGCGTCTGTCAGCTTTTCTCTTTTGGCATATTATTAATTTATTATTATTTTCAACTCTCTGCACCTCGAAAGGTCAACTAGAAACCTACAACGATGCATTTTTAAAAATAATTTTTCATGCAGTTAAATCAGTGACAATTCAAAAGTATGACCTAATGAATGAAGGAACATGTCAAGTTGGGTTACTGACTGAAAGGAAATTACTTGGAAATTGACAAGTAAAGAGTTATTCCTTCATTCAATGGTCAGAATAGAATTTAATGCATTTAAATTTATATGTACAGCACCTGAAATTGTAATGCATTATATAGTTCTTATCATGTTGGATTAGCAACAAAACTCTCGCATTAAATTACTAAAATTTGAAAATTCATGAAATCTTCTACCTCACAATCCTTCACGTCATGATACAACTGTCTGACATTATTTAAAAAAACCCTCTAAAATCCACATACAAATCAATTTTATGGATTCATGGATGCCTCCAATTATTTTTAATATATTCTCGTGTTTTTAATGTCTTTTTGGAAACTATGAGTTTGCAAATGAGTATGCTGCAAATGGGACACAACATTTGCAATTCTTCATATTTTTCATGGTATAATTTCCAGGTTACGTGAGTCACACCAGAGTTCATGGGTGAAGCCACGGCTACGTTAGACTTAGTTACAGCAAACATAGTGACACAGAAACCACACAAATCAGTGTCAGACGTGACAACGACTGCTACAGCAGCTGAAGCCAGAACTTTGAGACTTTTATCTGTGAAATTTGCTTCATAAATACATTTTACTTACTAACCTACTACAATAAAAAAAAATATCTTTACTTTTTCACACTCCATTACATTTAATATATAAAGTATTTTGCATGGTAACAAACTAACTTTTAAATTTCCTGGGCCCTTTATAGCGCTGAATTAGCCTACTTGGTCTCAAATCTCATCTAATTGAATCCCTCTCTGTGAAAGAACTGCCGCTAACTGAATGAATATGATTGTTTACACCTAATATTGCATTTTATTTTTATTGCACTATAGAGGCTGCTGAGAAACATTTCATTTGAGCTTGTGTACTTCTGTAAATAGTATCCGAAATGACAAGAAACACTCTTGAATCTTGAATCTTGCAAAGTAAATAAGTGCAAAAGCATGTACCATGTCATACAACTTCATATAATGTATTAATATATATTACTCAGCTACACTT